ACTGTCCGTACGCTGGAGTTTTGCCTGGCTTGAGCTTGTGCAGGGCTTGTGCGGACTGTAGCAATCTCTGTGAGCTCGTATGTTCATCTTTGCTCTGAAGTCCAGAAAGCATGGTTTCCTTGAAGTCATCCAACACCTCTGGCCCTTGTAGTTGTTTGTCTTTTCTGAGGATCCATCCCTAAGCCACGTAGGGGAGAGGTGTGATAAAGACATCCAGTGTAAAGCTCAGCATAAAGACATCAGTGTAGAGCTGAGCATAAAGACATCAGTGTAAAGCTCAGCATAAAGACATCCAGTGTAGAGCCAAGCACTCTGGAATCGTCTTCTCAGCACATTGTGCTTCTCCGTCTAAGTCCCCATCTGTTACGAGTCGAAAGCTGTTCTGGTGTTAGGAAGAGGCGTTCTGATCTCGGTGGGTCTGCAGTGGGTCAGAGGAGCCCTCTGAGTGCTGTCTGCTTGGTAGGCTGTCTGGTATGTGAATGTGTTCTGATTCATGAGACCGGAACTGAGAGCATCTCTGTTACATTCTCTGCTCTCTAGTCTGCTAGTGTTGTTTCTCTCTGCCCATCTAAAATGGAGATGTGTAAGTTTTATTCTGCATCCGCATGGATAACAATGGAAAGAAATGGTTACAAAATCACTCTTCCTGCCTGCGAGGGCCCTTCAAAGACCAGAGAGACTATAGGATGGTGTTTGTTTCTGTGGTGTAGGTAGGGCGTGATACCTCCTTCCCACTGGACCATAGGATGGTGTTTGTTTCTATGGTGTAGGTAGGACATGATACCTCCTTCCCATTGGCCTTAGTGTTGTATCAAAACCATGCCAGTACTCAAGGCATGGTGTTAGCCAGAGTGAGCATGCTTTTAGATGGAAATTCTTGTTTCCCTTACTTTTGTACTTTGTCTGTCAGTAGTGTGATAACTAATATAGATGGATGGTGTCATTCCTGTTAGGTTTAGTCTTCTGGACAACCTAGTAACTTCTGTGCGTAGATCAAGAGTTACCAAAAACATAGAAAATCAATGGAAGTCTGGATTCAGTATCTATATGGGGAAATTTTATCTCACTTTTAGCCATTTTTTTAAAAGAGGAAATGCATTTCTATACTGTTTCATTTTTCTCTTTGTTAATTTACAGGGTTTTTGATATCATTCTGTGTCTTCTCTCCCCATAGCATGACTAGATATGAGTATCTAAAGAAATGTGAAGTTACCTGATGCCTCTGTGATCCCAGCACTTGAAAATGGAGGCAGGAAGATAAGGGGTTCGTGGTCATTCTCAGCCAAATACTATGTTTGAGTCTAGCCTGGGCTACATGAGACCTTCTCAAAAGAGGGAGGGAAGAATGAAGGAAGACGAGGGAAGGAAAGGATGAAGGGGGGAGAAACTAATGGATTTATAAGGCCTGGGAAGAGAGCGATACATTTAAAAAATATATGAATGGGCCAGCAAGATGGCTCAGCAGGTAAAAATGTCACTTACAGCCAAGCATGTTGTCCTAAATTTAGTCCCCAGGACTCACATGGTAGAAGTAAGAGCTGGCGTCTGCAAGTTATCTTCTACACTTGTACACATGCGCTCTGTCTCTTTCTCTGTCTCTCTCTGTCTCTCTCTCTCTCTCTCTCTCTCTCTCTCTGTGTGTGTGTCTCTCTCTCTCCCTCTCCCTCTCTCCTCCTCTCTCTGTCTCTCTCTCTGTCTCTCTCTGTCTCCCTCTCCCTCTCTGTCTCTCTCCCTCTGTGTCTCTCTCTGTCTCTCTCTCTTTGTCTCTCTCTTTGTCTCTCTCTCTGTCTCTGTCTCTCTCCCTCTGTGTCTCTGTCTCTGTCTCTCTCTCACACACACACACTTTAATAAAATAAATGAATGAGAAAAGATAGGCTTCTGATATTAAAGAAACTGGGTCCTCGTCATAGTATAAACTTAGATTTTGAGTGACAGTCCTTTATTATATTAATGACTCCTACTTTCAGCAATGTTTATAAAGCAGGGCTTTAAAAAGTTTACAAAACCAGTCCCTTTTGTGAGCATAATTTAATTTCACTTCCACTTAGCAGTGTGCTTAATGTAGACATAGAGGAGTAACACCTAAAACTAACTATCAGAGCTGTGTCAGCTAGCGGGAAAGAAGGAAGGCTGAGCAGATCTGTCTCATGATTCGAGAGTTCCTATTGGGGAGACTCGGGATTAAACGTGACCGTGCATTTGCTCACAAAACAACAAATGTAGTCCCCTCTGATCCATACGAATCTAGAGTGTGGACTAGGGAGGTAAGACCGTGACCGTTTCTAGTACCTAGGTTTTCCTTCATCCTTACCAACACAGTATTGTTTGTAGCATGCTGGCACACAGATGCCCAGCACTCGAGAGGCAGAGGCAGGCAGATCTATGAGTTTTAGGGGTCAGCTTGACCTCAATAGTGACTTCTAGGCCAGTCAGGACCACATAATGACACCCTGTGTCAAAACATAGAAAGGTGTTAGTTTAACTGGTAAATCTTTATTGCTGTCAGTCTGAAACAAATGAAACAGAAAGCTTCATTGCAGAACTGTCACCCGAAACATATAAAAGTTACACGAAAGCCACAAATCAGTAAGGAACCATTCCAGCTCTCCAGTCCTTAGGTGACAGGTTGAAAGCGATACAGTAGCCGTGGTCATTACTCGGTCTTGTATAAGCGTGTCCTCGTTTGGTTTGCGTAAACCTCCCGTTTGCTGCTTTGTAGTCTCTCTCATTAACCCAGGGGTGGCTAAGCTTCCAAGGCTGGAAGGTGCCACCACTCTCCTCATCTGTAAGTAGAGTCATGCCGGAGCATCTGAATTGTTGCCTAGGGAAAGCCAAGATGATAAATAGCAGCGGCACACGAGGGACACGCCCAGTTCTTTTGCTTTTTCTGTCCCCATGTCTTGCTCAGCCTTCAGCAGCCACCACATAGCTTGGCACAGGGTTCTCTCCCTGTCAGTGGTGGCCAGTTCATTGAGTTAACTAAAGCAAGAGCCTCTCACAGCCAGCTTTCGAAGTCTACCCCTTACGGGGGAGTACTTTGTAGCCCCGGCCTCTCAGGTAACCTGTGAGGTGAGTCACAGAGGGTGTGGCAGCTCAGAACAGTCACCGCGTGTTAGTGTAGCTCTGCATTCACTGTACTGTGGGGACTTTCTGTAGTTACGTTGTGGCCTGCGAAATCTGTGATTGTGTTGACCTTAGGAAGCGTGAGGTTTGTGTGTGTTTCCTGTCGTAGATTTGACCTGTAATGCGTGGTTTTCAGATTCAGAATCGAGCAAGAAGAGCAGCTTTCGAGGATTAAGAATGTCCCATAGGATCTCAGAATGTGGGAAAGTGAAGTTTTTGTCATGAATTTTCATAACAGCTGCAGAACAAAGCACAGAGCAGTGAAAGAGAAGCAGGGCAACCTGGGAAAGGGAGGGTGGAGTCGGGTGGAGATGTCGCCCCAGGGCCTGTGGGCCCTCAAGGCTAGGCTAGTGAAGCCTAGAGATACCCTGGCTCACAAAACAGGGTGGACAGAGAGAAAGACAATGTCAGTAATCTGGCCTCTGCATGTTCACATACATGTGAACATACCTGTATACCCCACACACGGGTTGGGAAGGCAGAGTTGGGTACTGTTTAAGCTACTTCCTGTCACTCCAGGAATTTTTGCATGATACCTGACATATGTATATGTAAAGTAGGTTTGAAAATTAAACATTTATCAACAACAAATCATAAAGAATTTATTTTTAAACAATCCTTTGGTAGCTAATCAAAAACAAAAGCAATCTGCATATTAATGAGATAAGCTATGTTTGTTTTTGTTTAAGGAATTAAATGTTACTGAATATTTGTTAACATAGGACATAGAATACCAACACTTTTCATTTAATGATTTTATAATTGTCGATTCTTAGAACACTACATAAATATTTAGTGTAAAATGACAAAAATATGTCTAGGGACATTTCAGACCTGCCCTAATCTAAGTGAAAATTTATTGTGTGTGTGTGTATGTGTGTATGCACGTGCACACACACGCACGCGAAACTATTTAGCTATTCAAACAGCAGATTTTTAAATGAAAATTTCTTATGGTATAATACAGACATATACTAATTCACTACTCCTATGCTGAGAAAAGACGGCAGAAGCCTATTACAACTGTGTTTTCCACAAATAAGCCATTGTGTGTGCAGTTAGAACACTGCAGTTCCCAGTATAAATAGTTGGCGGGGAGGTGCTGTGGGCCTGTTCTCTTACAGCATGATGCAGTGAAGGAAACAGTAGGCTTACAGGCGCTGTGTGCTCAGACCTGGCAGGAGTGAATGTCACAATGTGGCAGGCAGATGCTCCCTGCAATACCTTCATTGCACACAGGGTTTGCAACTGTTTGTGTTTGTTTTGGTTTGGTTTTGTATTGTGCATCCATTTTTCTGTGCATCAGATTTAAGAACTTGTAAATTAGACATGCTTTTGAAAGCATTCCTATTTTGTTGTATTTATTCTTGTTTTTGCCTTTTTTTTTCTTATTTTCCCCCTGTGCTACGGATGGGTGTGCTTGTCACACGTGCCTAGAAGAAATTCTAGGACCATGGCTGTTAGTATGTTGTGTTTGAACTTGGCTGCTCTGAGGGGGTGCTTGAGAACCACTCTCTTTGTGAACTGGGGGATGGTTTTAATTAAATGCTACCTGTGTTAGTAAAGCATGTTGTAGTTTCCGCCCTTTAACACATCTGTTTAAGTGACGGCCAGTCTGTGTTCAGTAGTCAAGAAAGTAACCGTATTTTCTCCCAGCTGGATGTATTGGTGAGACTCACTCACTCGTGTATATTTGACCTGCGGTTTCTAGATGAATTTCTATCTCCAGTGCGATTAGGAAGCTATCTCGGCTACCGTTCTCTTCTCCCGCTGAAGCCTCTCCCTTGCCTCCTCTTCCTCTCCTGTCTTCTCTGTTTATTTACTTGCTGTCCTCTCAGCTGTCAGTGGAGTTACCGTCTTCCTGTCTCCATATTCAGGTAGTGTCAGTGGCTGAGTCTCACCGCAGGATCGATGCTCTAAACGCGGAAGAGCTGCGCACACTCTGCAGACGCCTCCAGGTGCCCCCCAGCCCCTCTGTGGTCCCGACTCCTCCTTCAGAGAGGACCACTCTGTGTGTGTCCTTGGTGACCTTCCTCAAGACAGATCTCACATAGACAGTTTGTCTTGAGTGAAGCACTAGCATAAGCCATCCCTCTTTGTCTTAAAGATGCTTTTACCTTGGACAGCTACTTTTTTCGTTTTTTTTTTTTTTTGCCTCTTTGCTGTCTTCTTTTCATAATCATTTTCAGCCACTTGAGAACTATTCTCATCACTATGTATTTCTTTGAGCTATGAGTTTTCATTTAATTTTGACACTGGGAAAACACTTGATTTTGTGAGTGCACCTATATGAATAGAATCTGAAAGCTACCAGATGATAGGAAAATTGTAAAAATCTTACTGGAAAGTAAGACTTAAGTACTCTCTTCAAGGATATTTCTACTGATAAAAATCTTAATGAGACAAATCGGTTTTGTTTTTGAGGCATTCTTGGTTGATATTAGAAATGCTTTGGGGTAGGAGGGAAGCCGTCTGAACTAGATATATTATTTAAACTATCCAAAAACAATCATTGTGTTATTGAGAAAGACCAAGTAATTCATTGAAAACTCATTTTCTAGTTGTGTTTTCTTTTTATGAAAGGATGCTTTGCTGTCATTGCTTTCCTAGATTGACTGAATAGTTCTCTCTAACTTTCCCAACGCTGCCTTGGATTTCTGTTTCGTTTGGTTTTAACTTTTCACATCATCGCAATAAAGGTAAAATATGATGATGTGAAAGTCTTCATTTTAAGCTCCTCATCAGAAACAATACAGTTCTAGAACATGTATTGGCTGAAAGCCCATGCGGTCCAGACTTGGGGCAAGACATGTGTCGAACGGCCAGGCTTCCGCTCCTGAGTGGCGTCAGTCTCCGCCCTCTGCTGCATTTTAGTTATCTGCTCCAGTCAAATTCCATGGGGTCTAAGTATTTCATCAGCAATAACTAGGATTACTGCATTTTAGATCCTAAAATTAATACCAAATATAAGAACTAACAATAGATCATAAAGTGAGTTTTTAATTACCATTTTTTGTCATCTTATGAATACCAGTGGGCTTATTCTATGAAGTAAGTGCAGGCAATTTATCTAACCTTTATTCATGAGCAAATTAATTTTAATATTTATTGCTTGGTTCCAGTAGGTGAAAAGTAATTGTTTTAATAAGTCAAAACTAGAAGGCAGTTTTACAAATTGGTAGCATATAAATACACCCCAGTGAAAAGACATTTATCATTTTTGGTCTACCATTCTTTAAATTTTCAATGCAAGAAATTCTCTTAGTAATTTTGACAACTTTTGTATTTTGTGTGAAAAAAAATAGTAGCATGAGTTTTACAGAGCACTTAGTTAAAAAGCTCCCTGGCTCCCTTTTGTCCATAAGGGCTAAGCTATGCGTGTAAGTTTCCTTTCCCCCAGAAAGAGGCGTAGCCCTTCCTGGCGGCTCTTCCTCGTGCAGTAGGTGGAGTGTACTTGCTCTAGCTCTCCTGCTTCAAGCACACTCTACCTGAACGGGCGTCCTTTGCCCTGCCGAATCTTTAGCCACCTGTGCTCAGTGAAGCTTCATTGAACTCAAACGGCTGCAATCTGCGGAAGAGTCCCAATCGCATGCTAACACCCTGCCGCTGTTTGCTGCCTTAGATCACTACAAGGGAAGACGTCAACTCCAAGCAGGTGGCTCCAGCGAAAGCCGACCTGGAGTCTGAAGCTTTTCGACCAAACCTAAGCGAACCCAGTGAACTCCTGCTGCCTGATCAGATTGAAAAGGTATGCCGTGTCACCGGCTGCGTCTGAGTGTGTGCTGTGAGGGGGAGCAGCCTGCCGCCCTGCTAACGTCCTCACAGAAGCAGAGCAACATGGGAGAGGCCAGGGTTTGCTTTTTCATCCTGGCTTGTAAGGCAGGGTCTTAGTGTGGGGCCTCAGGTGGGCTTCCGGCTCCTGACTGCCCGGCCTTAGCCGTAGTGCTGGGATGCCCGTGCTAACCACATCTGACAATCTTTTTTGTTAACATGCCTAGTTACATGGTGTGTGTGTGTGTGTGTGTGTGTGTGTGTGTGTGTGTGTGTGTGTGTGTGTTAACTTATGTGTTTGTTATCAAAGCTCTAGAAGTTAAAGAGATTAGTATTCATATTTTTGTAAGTGAAGAAATTTTTCATGTAGAGACATTGAGTAATTTATTCAGTGTCATGTAGCTATAAAAGATTTTCAAGCCTTTATAATCTGAATATTCAGTATAGTACGAGCAATAAGCACGCCATATTTCTTATCCCTGTTGGCATTTTGGCTTGGTGTGGCTCCTTTTCTACTATTCAGTGCTGTGCTCTGATGAGAAGTGTGTAGTTCCTCTTAAAGCTTCACAGCAGGTAAGAGGACAGTCTCCGGTGTTCTTTCTTAGCCCGCGTTTTATATGTGTGATTAAGTTCCAGGGGTTGCTGCTTGCAATCACGTAAACACTGACATTTGTTTCTCCAAGCTTACTAAGCAGCTTCCGCCAAGAACCATTGGCTACCCATGGACGCTTGTGTACGGAACGGGGAAGCATGGAACAAGTTTGAAGACCCTTTATAGAACAATGACAGGCTTAGACACGCCAGTGCTGATGGTGATTAAAGACAGTGATGGCCAGGTACGGAAAACTGGTTGTGGAAATCCTTTGTCCCCTGGCAATAGCTTTGAGCATGCACATATGATAAACTGTACTGTAGTGCATAGTTCTTAATTACTATTCTATTGCACAAGGCAATCTTGAGTATTCTGGAGGTTAAATGTAGGCATACCAAGTAAGCATGTGGGGTTAAAAACAAAAAAATAACATGGTAGAGACAGTTTGAGCACGCCAACGTCTTTAAAGGTGAGCATGAAATGCTAGGTGTATCAGGAGTCCAGAAGAAGCATTTGTCTGTGAGGAAGGTAAGAGTGAGCCTTACAGAAAAGAAGAAAGATTGCCAGACGCTTAAGAATGAGTAGACATTTAAAAATAGCTTTTGCATTTATCATTTGATTATTTTGTGTATATACATGTGTTTTGTTTCTATTCAGCCACTGTGATACCCACTGCTGTCTGTAACTCTTTTCTCTTTCCAAAAAGCCCCCTCCTCGTTGCACAGCCTGTGAGGGAGGGTTGTGTGTCCGTCTGTGAGGGAGGGTTGTGTGTCCGTCTGTGAGGGAGGGTTGTGTGCCCGTCTGTGAGGGAGGGTTGTGTGTCCGTCTGTGAGGGAGGGTTGTGTGTCCGTCTGTGAGGGAGGGTTGTGTGTCCGTCTGTGAGGGAGGGTTGTGTGTCCGTCTGCGAGGGAGGGTTGTGTGTCCGTCTGCGAGGGAGGGTTGTGTGTCCCACTGTCGTGTTTTAGGGTTGTCTGCACCACCATAAACTGGGGGCATAAACTTTGGAGCATGGGCCACCTTCAGTGGTTGTACCACTGAAGAAAATGGCTCCAAGGTCATGCACAATTATAAAAGCAACGTCCCAGCTAGAAAAGAGAAGCGTTGAGCAGTAACGAGAAGATAGAGAAGACGTATCAGTAAAGGGAACCTGCTGCTACTAGTCATCCTCTGTATTTGCTATGTGTCGGGTGTTTAACTAATTGTCCAGGGGCTGTTTAAACCATCAGAAGCCTACAGAGACTAATAGTCATCCCTGTGTTATAGTTAACTCTCCTCACGAGATATACCTAAGAAACGGTATGGGAATCAGTGGAAAGGAGTCAACCATTGCTATAAACCATAGCTGTGGATGTGTGGGAAGCATAAGACTGTTTTGAAAATCACACAGTACAGGGTTCCTTACCTATGACTGCATGCATAGAAAGCTCACATGAGCGAAAGGAACCTATGATGCTGTCAGATGGCGGCTTCCTCCGGAAGTGGGCTGATGAGAAGAGGCACAGGAAGAGATTTATAAGTGCTGGGGACGTCCCCTAGTTCCATCTGCACCTGTACGTGGGACTTTATGGCAGTTTTAATTGAACTACACATTTATATTCTGTGTACATTCTTCTAAATAAAATAACCTAGATGAGTTTTTAAAATTAATACTGTAAAGGTAGAATGTTAGACATGGTAACGATAAAGATCTATCTCAAGTGCTACACTGGCCTTTCCTGATATGGAAACTTAGGCTCAGAGCACTGAAATAGTCCAGTTTTGTCTTCATTTGGTCTTTATTAGGGTATACAATGTAGGCTTTCAACGTCAAGGTCATTCAGAGTGTGCCCTTCGGGTGTTTTCTGTGTAATGATGCAGGAAGGGGAAAATCAAAGGTATTTAACTGCACCGAAGGACTTCTAGATGTCTCCACACTGTGATCCAGTAGGGGCATGCACATACCACATATAGACTGTGCATTTTGTCCTCAGTGTAATCACTGTATCTCTCTAGACTTCAAAGCCAGGGGAAATCTTTTCTCTACTTTATACTGGATGGGAATGTGACATGCACAGGAACTTGTCATTTCCCCTTAAGGAGAAGTTGTGAAAACTACTGTTTCTTTCATTGTGTCGACCGTATGTGTTGGAGGGTAGAGCAGATGAAATACATTAGAAGCTGTGTCACTGACCACGCCCCTTTTATCCTCAGGTCTTTGGTGCACTAGCATCTGAGCCATTTAAAGTAAGTGATGGCTTTTACGGTACTGGAGAAACCTTTGTTTTTACATTCTGTCCAGAATTCGAGGTAAGAAAAGTTATGTTCACATTGCAAGTATAGAAAAAGGAAATACTATGAAAACTCAGTAGAGCTTATCAACTGATAGATTAGTCGCTACAGACTTCGTCTGCATTTGTGCTTATGATCAAAGCTTTTTATGTTACCTATAGCATGAGAGAAATGTGACAATCTGTTCATTATGTGCAACTGAAATGTGGAAACCTTATTGAAACTTGCAACCACAACAGTGAGTGTTCCAGTAACTGCCGAAATGGCAATCAAAAAGGGGAAGAGGAAGCTGTCCTAGCTTTCAGGAAACATGGAGGTGTTCCTTTTGACACATATGCAGGTCTGCAGGAAGACTACTGTAAGCATCAGGGGATGAATCCTGCTCATAAAGGAACAGCCCACCAAATGTCTCCATCCTAAAACTGGAAGATTACAGTATCAGCCAGCAGGCAGTTGGCATTGTTGGACGCAGCAAACTTAGGACAAGATTCTTGAGAAGAGAGTGAGCGTATATGAGCGCATTAACCGCTGTGAGCTAGCTTCCAGAGAAGGGAAAGGAAAGGGATGTTTTAAAAGAAGCCAAAGAGAAAGGAAGCTGGATTTAACTTAACTTCCAGATTGCTCTACCAAGAGAAGCACACCGTGAGAACTAATGGGAAGGAGCCTGAGCCAGAGTGTCTATTCTCTATGAGTTTCATGACCTAATACACAAAGAGTAAATAAAAATAAAAAACTAGATTGAGATAGATGTGCACGCACGTGTGTGTGCGCACGCGTGTGTGTATAAGGGCATATGCAGTCGTATTGAAATACATGATACAGATGAAGCCCTAGGGCTATACTAATTAGTTTAGATAAAATTCTTACGGAATATTAGAATTAAATACATAGGAATGTGATGGTGGGGCTAAAGAAACAGGCGGTTGGTTAAGACCCTACTCAATCATGAGTGCCTGTGTTTGCACCCCCAGCATTCACAAAAGCTGGGCTTGGCCTCCTGTGCTTCTAGTCTCAGCAGTAGAGGACTGTGACAGGTGGCCTGTCCTGACAGCATGGTGGCCAGCTAAACTGCTGAGCCTCTGGTTTACTGAGAGACCCTGCCCCAACGCCATAGGGCTGTGAGCTGTAGAGGGAGAGGCCTGATGTCTGGTCCTTACCCTCAACAATGAGTTTATGGCACAAACCCATGCCTGCACGTATGCATGTCTAAAATATACAGACACAAGCCTGCTCATGTCTAGTTTTCTCCTCAGATTTCTCAAGGGTTTTAATTTGGAAAACCATAAGCATTGTGAGTCTAAGAACAGGAAATTTGAGCTCACAGAAAAGATCTTGGCCCTGTAGCAGTTCTCAAACATTTATGAGCAGGGCTCACGTCAGAAGAGAGAAGTGTGTGTGTGAAGGGTTACGTCGAGGCGTAGGAGTGGAGAGTGAGGAGCAGTCGCCCAGTGCTTTCAAATGAATCAGAAACACTGACGGCCAAAGGCCTGGAGCCTTCCCTGCCCAGCTGCGATGCTGCTGTGTCTGTCGTGTGGATTCCTGAGTCTGGGGGGACTAATTGGGGACAGTTTTCAACTGTATATTCTACATGTTTGTTTCCTTCGTGCAGGTCTTTAAGTGGACGGGAGATAATATGTTTTTTATCAAAGGAGACATGGACTCATTAGCATTCGGCGGTGGAGGGTAAGTCTCGTGAGCATTTCACTGTGAGAGTCTTAATGTGTTAGGTTATTTACAAAATTGGAAATTTTGACATTAGAATCTAAACTTGTTTATTATTGCAAATTATGCTTTTAAGGTACTTAGTAGGATATTTTATAGAGTTGGTAAAGTATTTTTTTTTTCCCTCATGTTAAGATGCTGGCTAGCTGATTTCCATTAAGACCTATCGTTTGCTTTAGGTGCATTGAATCTTTGAAAGTTGAAATTTAACTACTCTAAATCTTTTACTGTCTTGACTCTTCAAGTATGCATGATAGTCTGCTTCTCTTTCATCGTATAGGACAAAAATCTATTCTTTTCTTCAGTTTTTCTGTGATCACAATTTGAATCTGTATTTCAGACAATTGTAAAACTTTATCTTTCTGTAGTAAGATTTAGTGATGCCATGTTCAGGGTTTTGTTTCTCTTCAGTAGTATGAGCCCATTTATTTTACTCTTTTAACATAACATTGATATGAAAAGCCCCTTTTTAAATATTCTGATATCCTGATTTTGTTTCGTCTTGTGATGTGTAAAGGTAGCCTCCTCTGTCACCTTTGTAGTGTGTTCTTGTCAAGCAATGCTCACACAATCCTCTCACACCTGGCTTCTGTGTCTTTCGCAGTGCTTGACAAAGCATCCAGGGTCACATCTCTCATCCATTTAGTCTTTCTCTGTGGCTTGCTACCAAAAGCTACTAGCATTGTTTTCTCAGACAGCATGCCAGAGAAGTAACTCAACAGAGACTCGAGTTGCTCGTGCGGATACTGTTTTTCATAGCAGCATATTTCTTCTCAAGCGTGTAGAATAAATAAGCTGCTTTTGCCATGCCTGTGTCATTAACCTTCATTTTATCATAGATGATAAGAATTTTACCACCTGCATGAGAACCAGATTAAAACTGTACAACTAGGAGAATGCCTGGGGATGCAGTTCAATGATGGAGTGCTCGTGTAAAATTCAGTCGCTAGCACTGCCCTGAGAAAATAATAAAATATAAAATAGTAAAGAAATACTTATACCAAATGCCAAAAGCTAACTGTATCTGAAGTAAATTTTAGTGTGTTTAACTTATTCCTTAATGATTTTATAATGGAATGAAAAACAAAGTTCTTGCTTCTATGTCATTAGGAAAAGGAATAGTAGCGGAAGGTTTAGAGAAGTTCATGGTCCTGGAGTTAGTGGACACTGAAAAGCCTAATTAATTACTGTATAGTCTAGACTCAGAGTGCCAATAGCTGTCTTGATGTGTTTCAGAGGAGAATTTGCCCTTTGGCTTGATGGGGATCTCTACCATGGACGAAGCCATTCTTGTAAAACGTTTGGGAATCACACACTTTCTAAGAAGGAAGATTTCTTTATCCAAGACATTGAAATCTGGGCTTTTGAGTAAATGCAGTGTCTCGGTCTTAGCAGGACGTCGGCCCAAACCTGAACGGACAAAGCATGGTTTGGAATGTTCAAGAAGCAATACAATTAACATGTTGTTCGTGATTTCAAGTCAGTCGCTTTGCTATAATTTTGGAGTTTATTTTTCAAATCATGTTTCTGTCCCAGAGTTCTTTTGTTTACACCATGGCCTGGGTCCCTGTAGTGCAACAGCTGGGTGGAGTTTTGATGGGCATATTACAGCATCTTGATCATAGAGGCCACCACATTTTCAGTTCATGTTATTCCAGTCTCCTAATTGGATGGTGCTCCGTTGTTCAACTTTTTTTTTTTTAATCTGTATTATTTCTTTTTGTAGAGCAGTGTACTTGGGCTATTGAGGAAATGGGATTGAGATACTTTTGTATCTGGTGGAGTTGACAAAGGTGACATTTGAACCTGCTTATCATTTTCTTCTGAGAAACTATATGCCAAAAGAATATCTGCTCCATAGACCTCCTCTTTCTAATTCACTGCAGCATTCTCTTTATTCATGTTGTGAGCTGTCTCCGTTTCATCTTAGACAGTGAAATTTGAAGAGAAGTCTGACATACACTACAGCGCACATGATATGCGGGTTTGGGCACATGTTTTCATCACTGAATTATCAGATAAAGAGTTACAAACTGACAGAGCGTGCGAATCTGACCATTCTATTGGATGTAATATATTAAGCAAGTAATACTATTTACATATTTGTAGCTTAATAGGGCATTGTCATAAGTACAAAAACTAAAACCTGCATATTTCAACATGTGTCAGATATACTGTTTTACAGTTCTGTTGTTTTAGCCTTGTTGCACACCAACTCCCCAAATACATTTTCCTTTTTTTTTCTGCTCAAAAGGAAAAAAAATTGTTTTGAAATAAAAACTTGTTTTTTTATAAGTGGTATATGTTATTAGTTACCATTAGCGTCTGCTCTTGTGAAAGGGCAGAGACTGTAGTAGACAATACTGTAACTCAGTAGACTTGGTGAATGTGCGAGCTTCTGTCAAGTGGCCTCAAAAACAACAAAACCCCGAAAAGGTAGAATAAACTAGCAGCTGTATCTTCTCTTGTAGGAAACCAACAATAAGCCATTGTGGCAACACTCTTTGTCGGTTCAATTTCAGAGCTTCATGTTGTGCAGAGACTAAATCCTGCTGTTATACATGTGACAGAGACTCTGTGCTGACAGTTTGGCTGTCCCCCACAAACGCTGTATATCTTGTAAATTGATGTTCAAAGACAGTTTTGTTCTTACAGAAAGTGTTGACTGCCAGGTTGCTTATAGCACTTTAAATTATTCAGAAAAATGGAATTACCAGCCACGTGTGTTGGCTTAAGTAGTTTTAGTTATATAACTTAAAAATACCTAGTTCTTTTGGGAAAAGCCTAGATACTTCCCTAAAGAAAGCATAATGCTAATCAAAATCTGGTGTTCTATGACATGTTGTTTCTGAAGATGAACAGAAACACGGGACATCATGTCCTTGTCTGTGTATAGCTCTCATTACAAGCTAGGTAATAGACTCTAGGTTAAATGTTTATAATTTAGGGAATTGTAAATAAATGTATCCTTTCTCCTTCGGTCTTCCACAACAGTGTTATTGTCTTTGTGGAGGTGACTAATCATAAATCTTTAAAACATCCTGTAATGGATTTCAACTACAACAAGGTCATAGAGATGTATACCAAATAAAATTAAATGCATAAATGCAAATGAGTTTGGATTTATTCAATAACCAGGTTATTTCCATATCTTAGGACTGGCAGTAAGCAAGTACCCCATTAGCACACTGTGTGGATGTAGCATCAGGAAGTGATAGAGGCTTGAGTTTGTTAGAGGCAGCCCCGCTGTTTAAAATGGAGAGTCATCCACTAGCAGTGACTCTAGGGGTTTGAAGTGTTGGGGGAGGGTAGAACGTGCGGAACATGAATCCCAGTGCTGTGAGGAGCCCAGTGCCAGCACCAAGCACTCTCCTATTTGGAGCTTCTGAGAATATTAGCATGGAGACATAGCATGGACAGACGTGTGCCTCAGGAAAAGTCTTCGTGAAAAAGAAAATAGATTAATGGAGGTAAAAGAGACGGGAGGAAAAATAAGCAAGTCTGTTGTACAATCGGGAGGGGGAAATAATGAGGCCTCGATAAGAACGAAAACAGTGGTGAAGAATGAAGTGTAGAATTGAAAGGGTTGATAGGAGCTGGCTGCTAGTTTGGTATCAGCTTTAAAGATACCTATAACCAAAATCCCCTCCCCCTCTCCCCCTCCTCTCCCCTCTCCCTCCTCTCCCCTCTCCTTCCCTCCCTCTCCCCCTCCCTCACAATTCAGGTAAATGATTCCTTGAACAACCTTAAGATTTTGACTTGAGAACTCGCTAGTGTTACTGTCAAGTTGCAGGGTAAAAAGAGGAAAAATGAGTATGTGGGTGTTGACATTCATAGACTCTAGCCCCTGGTATAGTATAAGAAATTATCAATTTGAAGGAAACATTTGATGTTCTATTCCAAAATAGGAAGTTTTTAAATAACATGATTTCCCTGTGGATAAAATGCCCTTGAAGATTATTGGCCTGATTTAAGATAGAGTTCTTGAAATAAGTTTTGTTATTGTTTTCATCAAAATAATATTAACCAGCACAGAAAGGGCGCTGAGCTTCCTTCTCGAAGAGAAAAACAAATTGGACCTAAAGCAGCTGGGACAAAGTAAAGATATTTGAGTAAAAACCAATACAATTTTAAAAGGATACAAAACATAGTCTGAGAATACTCGGTTCTACTTGTTAGAAAAATTAAGGTTAAAGAAAAAAAAGACCACTTATAAGAAAAGACTAAAAGTGGCATCACAGACGTCAAGAGATGAGAGGTCACTGTGAATGTCTTTGTATTAAGAAACTCAACAGCATGTGGGAAATAAACATTTTTAACAACGTCATATGGAAGCCTGGTAAGAAAATTAAAAAGTAAATAATGTGCAAATTTTGAAACCAACATACAGGCAAACAAAAACCTTCTTAGAAACCTTTCCAGGCCCAGGCAGGTAATTCTTAGGTATTTAAAGTTAATGGCAGGCTTAGGTAAAGCCTTCCAGAATGTAAAGGAAGTTCCTTTTTGAGACTAGAGTGTTCAGACTTTCCAGAGTTTTTTGTTCAAAGCTTACAAGCTTTGGTAGTGGTGATTTAAAAGCTCCTAAAAGTCAAAACTAAAAGCTGGCATATTCTAGTACATTCTGATAAGACATTAGCTCTTGTCTCCACTCATTTCTTCTCATTTCTACAGAAAGTTGATTTTAGTATTTCTTAATACCCTTATTTCCAAAATATCTTGATGAACATTTACACATACAACTTAGTTTGCACACATATGTATTTCTCTATTGCTTACATTTACCTGCAAGAGAATTTGGGGAGTAGAAGTTACTCCCCGAAAGAATAGGTATGATGTAATCTTGTCGGGGCCTGGCATGGCGCCTGCTTCTCAGCAGGAGGTAAAGCAATGTGATGAGGGAAGTTGCTCTGAAAACTTGAAGTACTTGAGGTTAGCCTAGAAATTAAGTCAGTATCCCTCCAAGGATACTAGTTTCTGACCGGTTAAAAATTATTCAGATGACGCCGGGCGGTGGTGGCACACGCCTTTAATCCCAGCACTCGGGAGGCAGAGGCAGGCGGATCTCTGTGAGTTCGAGACCAAGCCTGGTCTACCAAGCGAGTTCCAGGACAGCCTCCAAAACAATACAGAGAAACCCTGTCTCGAAAAACCAAAAAAAAAAAAAGAATTATTCACATGAATTAATGAATGCTTACTTTGTTAGCAGAAGGGGTACAGCTAACTTAAAGCTCTCAATCCATCAGAACTCTAGCGTACATAGAGTGATTCCTGTACCATGAGAAAAGCTGATATTCAGCAAAGCAATTGGTATTTGAGAGACAGAAACCAAGCAGAGCATGGATGTGATCTCACTTAGCCATGCAACATGGAAAGGGTTGTCGGTGTATTCTTGCATCCAGACAAGTAGAGCTTGGAACAATGTCATCCCGGAGCCTGCAGAGATGATATGGGAGCCCCTAAAGCCTTGGACGAGATGCTAATGCTAGGAATATCCCAAATTCAACTCCGCTTTTGTTTTATTTCAAACAAACACAAAGGAGATGTTTTGGGATCCAATCCAACAATCGGACAAAACAACAAAAGATACAACAGTTATTATTTGGTTGTTTTTTCCTCAGTTCCAACATGGGTCCCACTGTGACAAAACATGTGCATGTTATCCCTAAGAGATTTCGCTAAAAATATTAGCTAACAGTATAGAAAGCAAAATTGTATGTTTGCTTTAACGTATTGGAATTTTCAGTTGGCAGCAATCATTCTTGACTTTTCGTTTGTTTGTTTTGTTTTTCAAGACAGGGTTTTCTCTGTGGCTTTGGAGCCTATCTTGGTGCTTGCTCTATAGACCAGGCTGGCCTCGAACTCACAGAGATCCATCTGCCTCTGTCTCCTGAGTGCTGGAATTAAAGGCGTGTCCCACCAATGCCCGGCCTCCATTCTTGACAATTTTTGAAGTAATTTAATCTGTAGTTTTTCTATCTTTATAACAGTTACGGATTCCTATTATTTTGAGATATAATTTGATATTTTTGTATTGAACACCAAGTATTATAACCATTTTAATTTTAGAAGCTTTCTTTGATAGGTGTTTTTGTTTGCGTGTGGGGTGGGGAGAGGGGAGAGGTTATGTTTTGTGAAATTTTCTTTGTTAGAACAGGAAGGAAAATGTCTCGGGTTTTTTTGTTTTTGTTTTTTTGTTTTTGTTTTTGTTTTTGTTTTTTGAGACAGGGTTTCTCTGTGGCTTTGGAGGCTGTCCTGGAACTAGCTCTTGTAGACCATGCTGGTCTGGAACTCATAGAGATCTGCCTGCCTCTGCCTCCTGAGTGCTGGGATTAAAGGCGTGTGCCACCATCGCCCGGCTGTCTCAGGTTTTAGATTCAGTGATTCTATAAGATTTTCTCCAGTGGCCGGGTGGTGGTGGCACACGTCTTTAATCCCAGCACTCGGGAGGCAGAGGCAGGTGGATCTCTATGAGTTCGAGGCCAGCCTGGTCTACAAGAGCTAGTTCCAGGACAGCCTCCAAAGCTACACAGAGAAAGCCTGTCTCAAACAAACAAACAAAATTTAAAAAAAAAAAAAAGATTTTCTCCAGTGGACATCCACCTCACAGAACTTCTGTATTTCCTGCTCGTCGCACACCTATTGGCATAATGGAGGAGGCAGCAATGACTCATCAAGACTTTAAGCGAGACTCAAACTTGTTTGTGAAGCTCTCTGAAGACCAAGAAGCCCGAACCTTCCCCCTCCACTGTGCTTTCCTGGTAGGTGGCCATCTTTGTTGCCCGTAACACCACTGGCGACATCTGTTTCTATGTGACTTGCTCCAATCAGACAGCCAGCTGAAGGAGCCGCTCAGAGGAAGTCCAACATCTTACTGACTATCAACTTCCCCTGAGCCACCAGAGGTGATGCAGTAGCTGTTTGAGAGGACTAAGGAACATTCTGGTAAAGAGAAGTACTTTCCTGGCAGGTGGGAGGCTCTGCACCTGGTTCCTAGCACTTAAGAAAGTGGGGGTGATCACATAGAAACCCACAGTCCCAGCTCTGAAGAGGTCGAGGCCGGCGTATCGGTTTGACATTGTCCTTAGCTCAACTGAGTTTAGAGTTTGAGGCCACACTAGCCTAGTGACTGCCTTGATTTTTTTTTTTTTTTTTGGCTTTTTGGCTTTTGTTTTTAAGAAAAAAAGACAGTCAAATTTTTTTCCAAAGTCCAATTATTAATCTTATCCGATATAATGGAATTGTTCCCCCTAAAAATGACTTACATTGTGACATTCTACTTTATCTAACTAAGGTCAGCTTTCTTAACTGTAATATGTCTTAACTGTAATTTTTAAATTTGTAATAATTTCAGCAATGAAGGCCAAATTTTTTGCCAAAAAAAGGTAAGTAAAATTTCAAAACATCAATGTGCTGATTATGTATTAAAGTCTGTATACTTCTAAAATGGTGAGTGCTCTATAAAATCTTCACATAGTGTGACCTCATAGAAACAGCACCAAAAGGCATTTGTGTATATAAAATATTTAATATTGATAACATTCCCGAGCAGCTTGTCTTTGAACTTGCGACCCGCTGTTTAGCCGTAGAACAGCGGTGACCACGGACTCGTTGAGGGCTTACTCGAGGAGAGTAATCACAACGTGGTCGTCTTTGCCTTGCCATAGCATCTCTCCCTCAAAGTGCACCAGTCCGTGTTTCCTGGCGCGCATGAGGATGCCCACCACTTTATCCGAGATGCGCACGTACCTATCGAAGAGCTCCCCGAAGGTGACCTGGACCTTGCCGTCCCGTCTGTGGCGAGCCATCGTGCGGATGACGAAGCACAGCTCCATGATTTCCCGGTAGATGTGTTCCTCGGCTCGCTTGGCCCGCTCCGCCGTCTTGCTTCCCTCCCTGGGACGGCCGTAGCCCTCGTCTCCCTTGTGGAGCCGGGTGGCCATGGCCAGGTCGTAGTCAAAGTCGTCGCTGAAGGGGTTGAGCTTCTGTGACTGCATGTGCTCATCAGCCCACTGCTGCCACCTGCCTGTCAGGCTGCCCACCTGGCTGTACTTCCGATGGGCCTTACAGCTGAGTGTCTCCGTGTATCTGTTTGCCCTGAGGGAGACAAGGGGGAGAAGCGAGGTTGACGCGTCGTTTCCCTTTGTACCTCCCACGGGTGTGCATCCGAGTGTGAGTATAGCCCCCGCTATGATAAAATACATGTTGCTGCTTACAGAAAAACGAGAACGCTTTCTATCATTCCTACTTTATATCCTAGGACGCTTTCTCTGTAACACTGACGTTAAACGCTAATGGTGCTAAACTCAAGTTTAAAACAAACAAACCACAAGGCCAGCCTTACTTACTGTGTGAAAGTATCTGTTCCTGATGTGTTTCATGTTATAAACATTCCTGAACCGGAAACTAGTTCTCGGAGGTTTTCTGACACCAGTAACTTCCAAGACATGTATTTGGTACTATTGTACAGATTGGGATAGTTATACATCGAATTTTGTGCATTTTTTTCCATGAGAGCCTATTTACACTAGTGTTAGTGGTGTGCAAATAGAAAGCCCTTGGTGGCAGTAAGAACACTTAAAGTTACATGCTGTCGTCCTTCCAAACCCTCATCATTACCCTCTACAATCATCTAGAAGGTGGATAACACTTCTATCAGCTGTATAGATGAGCAAACTGAAGCCAGAAAGATTACAGAATGTCCTAAACACAATACTAGGAAAGTGGAGGCTAAGGCTGGGCTTTGAAGCCAAGTCAAGCTGTCACAGGAAAGAGGTCAGTGTGCAACTCTTAAGAAATACTACTTGAGTCTGTAGCAGAAGAAGGATTCTACAAGACCAAAACTAAAATCAGTGAGATGCCACCAGCATTCAGGGACAGCGTGTGATAAATGGGTTGTATTTCAAAGTGTGTGTTTGTCTTTGGAATTTGGACTGCATTTTTATTAAAACCGTAAGACCCAGCTTTTGAAACTCTGCACTCATTATAAGAGGGTACAGACTAATTTTCAAATAGCTAAATTTTGCACCTGGAAAACTTCTCTGTTGCTTCTGTCTGTATCTCCAACTTAATCACCTTTTTTTTTTTAAACAAAAAAATGTACCCCATCTTCCTAAGGCAACTACCTTTATTCTGTGGAGCACTAAGTGACCTCATGCCTGGAAGCATCGGGACTGAAAATGTGAAGAGGCATTAATCATCTCTATGAGTGGCACTCGTAATTCACGCTCTAAGCCCAAGAGTGGCCAGGTTTATCTGTCCTTGTACAAACTTCCTAAATTCTGCTCAGATGACAAATGGGCCAGTGAGTCATAGCAGCTGTTTCTACGGTATTTCAATCCTCTGTCCCTGTGGTCCTAAGCTCTGTTTTGTCGGGATAACCCTGAGTTGATGGGGCTCATCATGTCCCCCTGGTGCCAGGAGACAAATGTTTGCTCTCCTTGCATAAGGAAGACAGGCAGCCAGCCTACCAAGCCAGACACCAAGCCTGTATGCGGTTTAAAGGCACCCTTAAGAAAGAAACCATAGCCACTAGATGGCGAAATTTCACTAGTCCCCATGTTCATGTTTCACCTAGTCCTAGACTGTGGTCTCACTGTGAGGTTAGAACTGGAAGGGAGTGCCCAGATGTAACAACACTTGCTTTCATAATGTGGAGAAAAACGGGCAGCAAGGTTAGCTGGGAAAAACAGCACAGGATACTGTACAACTCAAGTTCATCGCCACGCCCAAGCCTGAAACAGCGCTAAAAGCAACAGCGCATTGAAGTGGACCAGGATTCACTCAGCCCTGTTGAGGCGACTTGTCTCCGCTCTGCTGTCAGCTGCCTACTCACCTTCCCAGTGTGGGCTGGAAAAATCTTCCAAGAGCAGACTTTGTACCCTTGAAGCCACAGCGATGAGGACGGGAGTAACCTAACGATCGAAACCACCTTAAGGAAAAATTCTAGTGGCTATTTCAAAATGAGCGTCCGTCCAGCTCCAAAGCGTGAGGTAACGCAGAGGGTAGCTGTGTGACTTGGTGAGGTCTCAGCAGCACAAACCCAGAGCTCAAGTAGCGTGGACTCAGCCTTCAGCAGGCCTGGCTGCTTAGCTGCGCCGTCTGCAGCTTACAAGACGCCACCTAAGAGCGCCTTGGGTAGCCACTGGGTAGTGGCAAAAGCACCCCAGGAGATATTCATCCATGAAAAGAATCCAGGTAAAGAAGTTGCATTGGTAACTAAAAGGTAGAGGCACCGGGGTGAAGGATCCAGTGTTGCTATACGCAAATGAAAATACTCCATTGGCATCCAGGCGACCAATTGAACACATGACCTTAGGTGTTCATTGTGCTTATTTTGTAATTGTTATAAAGGGAAAAAAGTATGGCAGGAAACTAACTATACTAGCATCAGGAGGCGATTTGTTTAAACTTTGTGTTCTAAGACTGGTTTCTTGAGGTACAATTTCTGTCTTCTACTTTGAGTTAGGAGGTTAGGTGCTGAGTATTGGAGCTCAATGGTGTTTGGGAATAAGTTTTTGTTGGTTTGGAAATAAATCAATAAAGAAGCCATTGTCATTTAAAAGAAGCATTTTCTAAGTCTCATTTCATTGTAATTCCCTGAAATGAGAGGAAGTGGGACAAAACAAGAACTAGAAAATAAATATAGACAGGCTCAGTGGCCACGCATTTAGTCCCAGCACTCTGGAGGCAGAGGCAGGCGGATCTCTGTGAGTTTGAGGCCAACCTGGTCTACAAAGTGAGTTCCAGGACAACCAAGACTGTTACACAGAGAAACCCTGTCTCACACAACCAAAAAAAAAAAGTATTTTAAAGCACTTAAAAAATACATGCCACAAAATAGCTTTTCTATACCAACCAACATCTTATATGGATGGTTTTATATTTCGAATTGTTAAAAGTATGAAAGTGGTTTAAATTGAAATTAGAAATTCTTATATCCTAGAGATCTTTTAGGTCATTGAATATGATATGTTATTGCATGCTTTAAATTTTCTGGTGAAAGTGGTCCAGATCAGTGGTTTTCAACCTGTGTGGGGTCATGACCTCTTTGAGGGTCGAGCAATCTTTCGCCTAAGACCATCAGAAAACACAGGTATTTATTTACATTGTGATTCATAACAGTAGCAGAACTACAGTTGTGAGGTAGTGAAAATAATTTTACGGTGGGGGTCACCACAACATGAGGAACCATATTAAAGGGTCGCAGCCTTAGGAAGGTTGAGAACCACTGCTCTAGATTGATCTTCAAAAGACAATATTTTATGAATTGGCAGCAAAGCAATTACCGTCTCACCCATCTTTTAAGAGACCAGCATCATTTCCTCTATTAATAATATGGTGAAATGATTAATTGTACCAGATTCGATAGGCAAAATACCTTGGAAATTTTAGCTTTATTAGCAAAAACATCATATCATTCTTAGTCTGTCCACTCTAAAAATGCCATGATCTTGATACTGCCTTCTTACCCGAATACAGCTTATTCATAGCATAGTGACGACATGGGAACCAATTTTGTCATGGTTCTGTCCTTTGGTGAGTAACTATTTGATGAAGTTATTAAATGGTAATAAAATGAACAGAAAATAAGCCAGCCAGGAGTTTTATATATGATCTGTTCCAATGGGATGGCACTGGAAAGGTCTGTAATGCCCTTCACCCAGATCCCAGCCTCAGTGTGACAAGGGGACGTAAGAGTGAATTTCCTGGTCCCAGTTGGAGATATTTATGAAGGGAGGTAGTTGTGGTGGCCACAGTCGGTGCCCAGTTGTCTCGGTGGCCGAAGCACGGCGGCTTCCTATCCCACAACAGGCAGAAACGCAGAGACGCTGAGGAGAACATGCCCCTCTGTGTATATAAAAATGGAGGTTCTCAGGGCAAAACACCTAGCAAACTTCTCTGGCCTCCACACCCACACATAGGGGCATAGGGGTTCACATGTGCAAACAGGCTTGCACATACACATGCATGTGTGCGCATGCACGAATGTACATGCATGTGTGCACATGCACGAATGTACATACGCATGCATGTACGCACACAAAGCCATTACCCTGTCTCTCTTAAAGCCCCTCAACATAGTTATACTAAAACCCTGCACTTTGGAGGTCACCAAGATCAAATAACTGACACCTCGTTTTATGCTAAGGGAGAGCTGGACTCAGGGCGCCAAAGAATAGTGCCAACATCAGTTCCCACCCGCAGGTGAGACGGTAATGGCGTGGACCAGAAAGAACACTTGTGAAGTTAGCACTGCCCTTTCAGGCCAGAGATGTACCCTAAAGGACCAGCTCCATCTGGCATCCCTTCCCTCCGCATCTCTGTTGCTGGCTGGCACTCTTGGGTGACTGAGACACAAGGATGTATATCCACTTACTGGGAGGGCAAGGGGCGTTTGATCCTGGCAGCAGCCATCTGTGCCGCCTCCTGTTCAGGCCTCTCCTCCACGTCCCCTCCGTAGCCACTGTCCTCCGTGTCCACGCTGTCACTCTTCCACGTGGGCCCTTCCTGCTCCATCACCTGCCAGCCTCTGGTCAGCTCCGAGACCAGATGGGTGCATCTTCGTCTCCGCGTTGGCGAGTCGCGACCCAGGAGGAGTCTGTCCACGTCGTCGTTCTCCTCCGACCTCTGAGTAGCTTCAGACGTCCCCCCGTCATTCTCGTACCTGTGGCTCAGGGAGGTCACGTCGCCCCCTCTCTCGTAAGCCTTGCTGACAACTGTCCTGGTCACCTCTTTCCTTCTGATGCGGGAGACCTCGGAGGCTGCTTCTGAGCCTTGTCCGTCTCCACGCCCGTCTGGCTTTGGAGGTGCAGGTCTGGGGGTACGCTGCTGCTGGGGACTGGGGCACACCACGGGTTTAGGGGTGTGGGGTGGGTCTCCGGATGCTCCAGGCAGCCAGCCTGCAGGCTCCTGGGCCTGCCTGGTGCTGTTCTCATTCGCCCACTGCTGCCAGCCACGGGCCAAGTTGATAACCAGGGTTGCCGTGCGCACCTTGCGGAGGGCGCTCTTGGCTGGTCCCTCCCCTCTCTCCTTTTCTCCAGGAGCCATGCTACCTGTTTCTTCTCCTCCTCCACTGACAGTCTGGGCACTGGCTAAGGAGGGAGTGTGGTTGAAAGAGGACCCTGGGATTTAAATAGAAGCGGGGTGTGTGGGGGGGAGCGCCCGGTGACGCTGGAAACTATGCAAAGCATTTCTTGCCAAGATGCAGTGCCATCTCCCTGACGGTGTTCTGTTTTTAAACCCTGACAGGTCCCGTTTCATCACAGCAGAGGGGCATCTCTGGTGGCGAAGGACACTAGCGTGTCCCCTCCTCCCTTCTCCAAGTGCCAGCATGGAAAGTACTAGATTGCATCATGCGCTGCTTGGCTTTATGTTTTCCCTGACCTTAAAACATGATCCTACCGTTTATAGGAGCATACAGTTGGTGCACAAACTGTCCCGCAGCCTTAAGGGCTTGATCTCACTGAAAGCTCTGTAGCCCTCAGCAGAACTGCTGTTTGGTCACATTTCATACGTGAGTGAGAGGTAGTTAACTTCCCGAAGATAATAATAGTTGAGATTCAAGTCCCGACAGATTGGAAGCTTGGGCTTCCTTTCATTCTGTAACTGTTAGAAAGAAATCTTAAAAAAAAATTGTCCAATCAGGTCTTCATTTCCAGATGCCCAGAGGAAAAATAAGGTCCAGATGGTGAAAGGCTAATTATTGGTTTCTGACTCCATTTTGAGAGAAAACCTATTAATGCACATTAGTATATAAGATTAAGACAGTAAAGTGTTCTGATGATATAAACATTAAAAACTATTTTTACTTATTTTAGAAATTATTACTCTAATCTTTTCAAATATCAAAGCTGTTTAATCCATATAAAGTCAAAATAAATGGAGGCTATCTGAAGCATGTCCTCCAAATTATTTTATTTTGAATCAAGGTGTCATTATGTAGCCCTAACTGGACTGGAACTTGCTATGTACAAGTGTCCTCAAACTCTTAGAGCACCTTCAGGCTCTGCCCACTGAGTGTAGGCTTAAGGTGTGTACCACTGCATTTGGCTTCCTTTCCACTGTTGTTTTGTTTTCAATGATTGACTATTAGTTGAACTCATTTTCTTTTCTGTTCGAGGTTATAATATAATTACATCATTTTTCTTTACTCCCTCCAAACCTCCCATGTAGTATCCTTACTCCCCACTTGATGTCTTTCATATTCATGGTCTCTTTTTTCATTCCTACATGTATGCTGTGTGTGTGTGTGTGTGTGTGTGTGTGTGTGTGTGTGTTTGCTAAATAAGTAAGTACAACCTGCTGGTCAGTATAATGTTACTTGCATGAAGCCTCAATCCTATAGGAAAAACTACAGGCAACTAGAGAATGCTGAGATCAGGAGAAATCCTCTTCCCCAGGGAAGAACTCATCAATTGGTTATTCAATACCAAAGAGTGAGCCCTGAAAACATGCCTTCCTCCTTGTTTTTAATAATATTAACTTTGCTAGCAAGCAAAGGCATTTGTTTGAACCTTCAGAACATCAGGTAAATAAATATTTCTAAGAGGGCCACAAAGATAAGTCATGTGGACAGAGAAACAGTAGTCTGTTCAGTGTTATTAGACCAGATAAAAATATGCAGGACTTGGCACTGAATAATTTCTTGAAGCAAGACAAACAGAATTTTTTTCATTTACCACTGCTTTAGGCTTTAAATTCTATCCATTCCTCCAAGTTGACATACAGTCATCCCACTGATTAGAATATGCTGCCTGTGAGCACTGTGAAAAGTATGAAAGTTAATTTCTTCTGATAGACCCTATCACTCAAAAAAAAAAAAGCTGTGAGTTTTTCATCATGTCAGTTATTCACACCCTAGGACTCAAACAATTTGGGGAATGTTTTTAAAACTCTATCTAGAAATCTGTCAGAAGTGTTCTCCGAGTTCCACAGCCTGCGATAGAATCAGAGACACAGGGACAGCATCCTTCTTGATTAATTAAGGGGGAAGTAGGATCACAGGGGCTGGGGACCACTATAAACAACGATTTAAGTCTGAGCTTACATTCCTGGTCTTCCTCCTCCGGTGTAGGTACATTACACACTGCCGGGTTCTGTGGGATTCCTTTCCTCCCCCTGGACGGTCCTGGGCAGAGTGGGCTCCTCTGAGACTTCCAGAAGCTTAACCCGGGACCGGGTTAATTTCCAGCTCGCAGAGGATTGCTCAGATTTCCTCCTGATAAAGAAGAATGTAGAGGGTGATGTGAGCAGGGCTTCATGTGTTAGCAGCCATTTCAGTCAGCTGCCTGAGGTCTGAGGCTGACAGCAGGTGGTCTGCAGGGGCAGGAGTAGCTCCCAAAAAGATCTGTTCATTCCTCTGAGGATTGGCTTTGATGGCAACTGCAGCCCCTCAGACATTCACAGAGGTCTTCAAATTCGTTTCCTCTGCCTGTCTCCTTTGGCCATTCCTACCCTTAAGTAAGGTCTGCAGGCTAGCAATCTTTTGATTATAATAAAATTTGAGGTTCATGTTCTCAGTCAAGGTCCAAGTCCTTAGCAATTACATATTCTCTAATTGTGTGGTGAAAAGAAAATGAAAATAATAGGAAATGACAAAGATTGGAGTAAGAACTAGTTCATGATGAAAGTCTCAGGAAATAAGATTCAGGGGCCTCAGATAATTATCACTTATGAAATTTGCTACGAGAGGAATGTCTTAGGGTTTTTGTTGCCGTGAAGAGACACCACGGCCATGGCAACTCTTACAAAGGAAGACGTTTAATCGGGCAGCTTACAGTTCAGAGGTTCAGCACATTATCATCATGGCAGGGAGCATGATGGGAGGATGCAGATGTGGTGCTGAGGCTGACAGCGCTTCCTGCTCCAGTGTTGCAGGCAACAAGAAGTTGACTGGGACAGTGGGCGGTGTCCTGAGCATAGGAAACCTCATAACCCACCCCCACAGTGACATACCTCCTCCAACAAGGCCACACCCACTCCAACAAAGCCCCGCCTCCTAATAATGCCACCCCCCTATGAGATTATGCAGGCCAGTTACATTCAAACTACCACAGAGGAAGTTTTAAACCTATATTGGTCACTGGGCCTGGAGAGATGAGTCAGTGGTTTAGTTGACTTGATGCTCTGGCAGTTAGTTGACCCCCCCCCCAGTTAGTTGCCAGCACATACATAGCAAGCTATTTACTTCTGTTCCAGAATATTCAATGCCTTCTTCTGACCACCATAGGCACCAAGCATGCGTGTGTCAGACATGCTTACATGCAGACAAAACACTAACACATAAAATACTAATATTGGTTTAGTCGTTATACGATCACATGAATGGTATTTACACACACCTCCCTTCTAAATCAATCAGGTGCAGTCAATCTTCATAGCCAGCCCTAGAAGGCCACCACACCAAAGGTATTTTACAAATCTTTATCCGCCTACCATACATAAAACAGTTTCTAAAAGTTATATTTAAGAGTGATAGCAACTTATTAGTCATGTACAGGCAGTAAGATGGTTAATATAGTGAAGCAAAATAACAAAGAAATAACAGGATTTTTTTTTACAATTTTATTTATTTAGTATAGTGTCCTGCATGCCAGAAGAGGGCATACACCAGATTTCATTACAGATGGCTGTGAGTCACCATGTGGTTGCTGGGAACTGAACTCAGGACCTCTGGAAGAACAGTGCTCTTAACCTCTGAGTCATCTCTCCAGCCCCTGGAATCTTATTTTTTAAGGCTCATTAATATTTCACTGTATATTTTTGCCAATGTTTATGAATTCATCTGTAGGGAGACAATAAACTTGTTCCCATATCTTTGCTCTTGTGAATAATTCTGTCGTGAGTATGACAGTGCAGCTATTTTCAAAAATTTTTTTTTGTTTTACAAAATGCATGCATACTTACATGAGGGTCGTAAGCTGCCATGTGGGTTCTGGGAATTGAACCAGGGTGCTATAGAAAGAGCAGCTCTTAACTGGTGAGCCAACTCCCCAGACCCCAGATACTTTTTTTTTTCTTAAAGGAATTTGTTGTGCTTATTTTTTGATAACTCAAAGTATATTTTATCTTATCATTCCCCTCCCCCAGTTCTTTCTAGATCTCCCACCTCCTTACTCACCTAATTTCAAATTCTTCCTCTCCTCCCTCTCTTAAAAAAACAAACAAACCATCAAGCAAAACATAAGATCCAGTTTGTGTTGCCGACTATTCCTGGGCCTGAAATTTCCCTTGGAATGTAGTCAATATACCAAGTGTCACTCAGTTGAAAAACAGTGACTGTTCCTTTTCCAGCAACTATCAAATGCTATCAAATGCTAGTAGCTTCCTGGCTAAAGGTGGTATTTTATGTTCACCCCACTTTGTGCTGGGGATTTGTCTGCCTTGAGCTTGAGCAGGTCTTAGGAACATGATCGCAGCCTCTATGATCCCATGACTGCCTCTGTCCTGTTGTGTCTGGAAAACACAGTTCCATTGAGGTCGTCAAATACCTCTTGTTCTTAGAAACTTCCTCTCTCAACTTCTGCATAGGTCCCTGACCCTTGAGGGGAGGGTGTGATAGACGAGCCATTTAGGGCTGAGTGTCACATTGTCTCTTATTTCTTAGAATTCGTATATATTGGTAAGATGATGATTTTATCTGACTTTGGTATCTACTCAGGATTTCTGGGTGATAAAGTAAGTAGTTCTAGTTTTAATATTCTTAGAAGCTTCCACAGTGTTCTCAATAGTGGAGGTTCCAATCTATAATCCTACCACTAACTGATCAAGGTTTCTTTTCTCAATAACCTAACCAAAATTCAGCTCCTGTGGTTTTTTTGTTTTGGTTTGGTTTGTTTTATTTTGTTTTGGTTTTTTTTTTTTTTGATTAGCTATGCTAAAAGGCTGTGATGCCTCCTAGTGGTTTTAATTTTGATTTCTCAGGTAGTTACTGATGTTTTCATTTATGTGTTATACATTCTTATGACATCATTGAAGAAATGTCTGTTCAGATCCTTTGTTCATTTTTAAAGTTGTTATTTGTTTTATTACTATTGAACTTTAAGGATACTTTGTAAATTGTGGCTGAGAACTTCTAATTTGACAGGTATCTTACAGAAATGTGTTGGATCTTTTGTTGTGCAGAAGCTACTTAACGTGATGAAGTCCCCAAACTGTGAAATTTTGGTCCGCTATCCAAATGCCATTGTCAAGACAAATATCTAGGAGTTTTCCCCTTATGTCCCCTTTTTCAAATTTTATGATTTCAGAGGTTGCATTTGGGCCTTTTGTTCATTTTTATAAACTTAGTGTATTTTCTAAGGAAAGCGTCCGTCTTTATCTTTTTATATGTGGAAGTTCGGTTTTCCTAAGACTGTTTTATTGACAAGACTTACCTCTTCTTTTTGCCCTATTGGTGGCCTCATGAAGTTAGCTGACTATGCAGGACTTTACAGACTCACTGTTGTGTTCATTGGTCAATGCTTTGTTTGTGTGCCACGAACACACTGTTTTGATTGCAGTAGCTTTATATTGTGATTTTTAAATCGGGAGGTGTGATACCTTAGATTTTGTATAGTAAAATTAATATTGGGTTTCTTTATCCTACTGTGAAGAATGCCTTTAGTATTCTGATAGGAATTGCTTTGTATAGCAAGGACATTATAGTGACATTAAATCTCCAAACCCATGAACGAGGGATAGATTTTCATTATTTATTTTGTTTCTAAATTT